ATTGACACTCTCCATATGGATTATTATCTCCTCCAGTTACTCCCAAGTTCTTAGGTTTTCCTTTAGTAAGTTCACTAGAGATATTTAATGTTATCTGCAGGTTATGGACAGGGTTGGAGCTTTACAATCTAATGCTTTTGTAATGGATTTAATAGCTTCAATACTGAGCAAGAGGATAGACCTCTTGCAAGCATATCTTCACATACTGAACTGGCTAGATAGAAGTCAGTGTGAATTTTTATAATCAACACATTTAGCTGTGGCAGTGGTAACCCTGATGAAACAAATATCTTGTTTGATTTTCTTTCTCTTCACAGTAAGACCAATAAATTGCTTTTACCCTATAAAAATTACTCCACTTTTAAAGAAAATGTGTTTCTCAGCAGTTTCCTCTAGAGTGGAGGAATATGATGGGTTTGGTAACATACAGACAACATCAGCAACATCAGACATCAAAAAACATAAGTTAGGGCCTCCAGAATAATGGTGTAGAATGAACGAATCATTTTAAAATGGTTCTACATATTAGGTACCTGGTTCTCTTCCTCTGTTCATGTTTTTTGGATTCTCAGTGCAACCAGAAACTAAAAAGTTACTCTTTTAAAAGGAATTAGATTTTCCCATAATCAAACAACCCCATGAATGGGAGCTTTAAAAAAATGAGTATTTTAAGTTTCAAGATAAAATCATTAGATCTGACAATGCAGGTTGCAGCTTATGTCGGTTATGTTTCATTAAGTGACTATATATAATACATAAAGAAATGACAAGCTTCTCAAGGTCAGTTTAAGAGCAAATACAATTAGTAGCAACAAGGTCTGAGCACTCACTGATCACCAGAGAAGAGGCGGAGAACAGAGAATAGACATTTCCTTCTCCCTTAAACCACACTTCCATAAAACATCATGTAAGTGTGAATTATTGGCAGTTCTCTACACTGGGAGAAAATGATTTGGTTGCTACCGGTGCTGAGGGACAGGGGATGGAAATGTCTTGGGTTTCTTTTTCTTCTTTCCCCCCGCCCCAACCTTAATTAACTTGCCTTCCTGAAGAAATGACCTTGCTCTATCCTTTCTGCTGAGTCATTTCTCTAGAGAATGCCAATTTTAGGGACTCATTAAAAGAAATAGCTCTTCTTAAGGAAAATCCCAAGAGTGCTTCAAGCAGTCTCCCTATCCAAGCCCTGTGGTGGTTTTATTTCATAGCTCTCTGGTGTAATGGTGTTTTTTCCTTTGGGTTAGATGTGCTGAGCAGCGACTATTTCAGTTACACCTCTTGGATCCTGATTGTAACTTTTATGTGGGACTGGGACTTTTGGGGGACTTTGATGGGACTTTTGCCTTGTCTCTAGTGGGATAATCTTAATTGCTTTTTTTGAGGGAAATACTGGTAGATTTTGTTGCTTCAGCTTTCTTATCCTATTTGTGTGGTGTCTGATTCAGATTTGTAGATCTCTCAGGCTACCCACTCAGAACAATAGTAAACAGAATTCCTCACCTCCTAATATGGCTTTTTCATGATCTCTGCATGCGCACATGCCTTGGTTACTATGTGTTGGTGGTATTATATCTTTTTTCTTACTGAAGACAGTTTGGTCTCCATAAAGAACAGATGCAAATATCCTAGCTAAGGAGGTATTGCCATTGGAGGATGTGTTCAGTTGGTTTATGCCCAAATAACATAATTTGTTACTAATGAGTCCTCTTTCCTAGCATCATGTATGATAAATCCTTTAGAATATCTGTTTCATGGTCAAACGTGAGATCACTATATACGTTTACTGCTCTCCCTGAACTTTTGGCCTCCTTCGCCTGGGGCTGTCCGCTCAGGGTTGGGATTCATGGCAGGTGCTATGTGATATATAGTTACAGAATTTTTTCCCCATCTATCTGTGTTTTTCTTCCTGTTCAATAATGAGGAGTCTCCTAAATGTCATTTGACATATTCTAGAGTGTGTGCATGGTATCAATTATAACTTGTTCTTTATTTTATTTTCAGCTTTATTCCTATCTTTAAGCTAACCTTCTTCTCCCTTTTCTGCTGCCCAAGGAGATGGCTCCTTCCCTCCCCTCTGGTTGCCAGGGTGACTGGGCTTCCATGATGCGGATGCTCTTGCCTTGGCTCCTTGCCATCCCTCTCCCGGAGACTGGAGTTTTCACTTTCCCTCGGATGGTGAGGACTCCTGTTTGCTCTTCTGCCTGCCCAGGCAGCTATTCTCCCTTCTAAGCAGATCTGGTTTAACAACTGCTAAAAGGAGAAGTGATTTCATGTGCCTGCAGGGTGGGATCAGCCAAGCCTCTGACTGAAGTGGAAGTCACCTTGTATTATTTTTCACTCTCTTAATGTGGCTGTGATGATGAGAAAAAGGACCCTAGAGTGGTACATATGCAGCAGAGGTAAAGCCTTTTTTATTTGTATTTCAAAATGGATAAATTCAATTTCTAGTGTTTGTGACACTGGAAAATGGATCCTTGCAGTACTTGTAAGCACATTTACCATAGAGGTTTTGCCAAGCTTTAACACAAAAATTAATAAACCTCAGGACAGGGCATCTTTGAATTCAGGTGTGGAATTAGAGGTTGTTCAGAAACTTTACTGAAGGAATTTGACTGTTTTCTGTCACTGAGCAAACAGATATCGCGTGATCTTTATGTTCAGCACAAAATCCAAAAATTTCAGATTCTGCATGCCTGTCCCAGGTTGCTGGTAAACATGGCCCCATCTTGGAATCACTTTCAGAGGTCAGCCAGTGAACAATTTTGTGTTACAAATCAACGTAGAGTTGCAATTTGCCTGGGTATGATTTGGCCACAATCAAGAAGCAGTGTTTTTAGTCAAGCTCTCTGAGTTATTTGTTTAGTTCTAGCTCAAATGCTTTTTTGAGATCCCAGTAAGAAAATCTTAGGTGTTGCAGGGATGGAAATTTAGAGAATTTTCCATTCTCTAGGGGTGGAAAACCTACTATTTAGTATATTCTCAGCTTTTCCACAAGGCATGAGTATTTTGTCTCATATATTCCCCTATGTTTTCTCTGGCATAATGTTATATGATTCAAAAAATAAGACTTTTAATACTCTGTTCTGTGCTTCTGGGACACAATGACAAAGTGCATTAGACTGATGCTGTAAGTGTAAATTATGTGATGTTTCCATATATTTGGACAAATGTTGTCCTTTGCTCAAGTTCATCCTTCATCCTCTCCTCTGCACTTGAAACATTCCATCTTTTGAGCTTGTTCCAATCCAATTTGCTTGTTTTTAAAGTAGTGATATATATGCAAATCTCTAAGTAGGAATGTCATCTGTGTTTTATAGGAAATCCAGGAACAGCAGCTATACTGCAGCTACCAGATATACTTATAACCCTCAACGTGCTTCCCTTTCTAACATACGGTTAATTATTTTTAAAACACACGACATATTACATCTAGCTGAGTTCTGAAACATTATGTGCTTTTTCTTTTGCATGAAAAGTATTTATAAAAGCTTTTTCTGCAGTGAAATTAAGATAAAATGCATCGGGCTACTTCCATTAAAAAGTTAGTAGGAAGCACTTGCTAGAGCAGAGTTTGTAGTGTTTTTTACATCTAGCTATAAGAAGGATGTTCTATATTTAAAGCACTTCCTTAGAAGAAGCATTGGAACAGTGTTAAGAGTTTTTCCTGCCAAAAGTAATAGCTGTGGAAGGCTGCAAGAGCACCAGACTTACTACTGAAAGGTAATAGTCTTCCTATGCAAATGTAAGTTAATATTCAAGGGGTTAAATGGAACAGGGAATGATCTTAAATTTCAGCCTTCTGTGCAGTCCTTAGTTTTATTCAAAGATATCAAATATCCTGACATCTCTTCACCATGACTGTGCTGCTTTGACTTACTGCTTGAGCAATAAAATATATACAGATTTTTGTATTGTGCATGCCATGCTGTGCTATAAATTTTAAAATGACTTCATCAGCATACAATACTCTGAGGAGTGTCTCATCTTTATAGTAATGCTTGGGGCAGGGAGTTTATTTGCCCTGGATTTCCTCAACACTTTTGGAAGGGCAGTTTGCAAATGAAGTGCTGGATACATTAAAGGGATTAGTCAAGGTTATTTGATGAATTTGGACATTATTACCTCTGAAGTAACTTTGGATTGTCACTTTCCTCTGTTTTATTATTAGAATAAATAAAAAATTGTTAAAATGCTGAAATACTCAACAGTGTTATAGAGAAGATGCTGCATGTATGGAACAGGCTTGATTTATTTGCCCTGAATTAATGTGTGTGACTTACTTGAAAAGGGTTTAAATGCAGTTAGCAGTTCAGCTAGTATTTGGCATTACTCCTACAACATGTGTGGGCAAATACCAAATTCTGTTAGCATGGAATTACGATTTTTGGAGGCGCAGCTTCTAAGTATCAGTATCTGCAAAATTACTTCATGTCTCTCATCCTTTAAGCAACTAACTAAATGTAACATTCTAACATTATAAAAATTAATTAATATTACTTCCTCTCTAAAGATTTGACTGTATTCTCACAAGGGAGGATACCCAGCTATGTTAAAAGTAAAGATGCCTGAGGAAAATATTTCTTTAGGTGATGTTTCCAAACAAGAGGTTGCTTGTAACTAGAGTAAAGCATGTTGAAAACTCCTCAATGTCAGTTTGAGAGTCTCAATGTTAACAAGTTAATATAACTTACACTGGCAAGTGTTTCTAAGGAAGGAGACACAATGCTGTATTAGAGAGCTGCAGCGCTCTATTCTGTCCAGAAGCTCTTCCCTGTATTTTAGCTAACAATTAGTAAAATACACATGATTCTTAGCTGAATATCACTTTGAAAAGCCATTGTTGCATTTTCTGTTACAGACTGTTTCATTACCAGTGACAGTTTTGAACCTTATCGCTATGGATTTTCTGTATCTTTTTTTATCTTTTTAATGACATACACCTAGCAAGACAGACAAATTTCTTTTAATTCTGTAGTTAGACCAGTTAAAAAGGACTGACTTACCCTGTCTTCTTCAGCTCTTAAGTCTGGCATTGTGCTAACACAAAGGCTTATAGCTGTGGTGGCCACAAAGAGAATGGAGAGACAAGCAAAGACTTTCCCTGGGAGTCCTGACTGGGGATTTTCTACCATATCTCTGAGTCTGTTCATAAACTGTCCGAATTTGGTTTTCTCATCCAAGACACACGTAGCTTCTTTGCTCCTCTGAAGCTCCTCTTCTTTGCGTACCTCAGCCAGCTCCTGCAGTTTTTGAAATAGTTTTCGAAAGCAGCAGTTCTCCAGGTTGGATTCCTCAATCCCCCAGTATCTCAGCTCCTCCTGAAAAGACAAGGCACACATGTCGCTTAAGAGCATCAGCTTCCCTGCTGCTAGAAAGCTGACAATCATCCCAAAAGCATTGGGGTTCCTGTCAAAGAAGAACTCATGGGTGTCTTCATCGTAATCGTCACACAGCTGTATTATTTCTTCATAGCTGCTGCAAAACTTAAGTTTGCTCAGTCTGGTCAGAGGAAATTCATCTAAAGTACTCCAAGGTAGCAGGTACTTGATGCCTCCAACATTTATCATGATCTCTGTCTTTAGATCGACTGCAGAGACTTGATCAGGATGGTAAATCCTCCTGGCTCTTTGGTAATGGACCCCTTTGACAGAAGGGGTTTCAACGGAGACAGGAAAGAAGCGGCTCAAGGAATTACAGGAAGTGTAGCTAATGTTACTATAGTCTTGGTCACTGCCTCTGGAGAGAATAGGCATCTCTAAGAGTTCTCACCGGGACATCCGAAATGGCATCAGAGCAGGGTTATCTGTCAGCCAAAAGATATAGGAAGGAGGACAAAACATAGCAGAGGTTATTGTAAGAGAAAAGGTGTTTCAGGCTACTGTCCTAAATCACAAAATAAACGAGTCCCTGTTTTGTAAGTAAAAGTCACCTCTGTGCTTCTTCCCGAAATCTGCAGCCTGTGAATGCGATTTGCTTTGCAGCCTCATTGGTTGTCTGGCAACACACAGACACAGAGGAGAGCTAAAGCCTCATTCATAATTATCGCAAAGGGCCGGATGCCTGCAAATCCGAATGCGAACAGATCGGACTCTTCTCCAAGCATATCTCGGTCCTCATTAGATTGTTGTATTTTCCAGTGGCTGTCACTTTGCTTTCCTATTTCTATAAACCCTGAAATACACTCTAACTCAACTAAGCCGCTTAATAGTTATTAGAGTGGTCAATTACCTGCCATCAGCTGGATGCAAAGTTCCTAATTGCTTTAACTTGAACACTCAGATTGCAATTCCTCTGCCTTTCACTGCATGCCTGTTTTGCCTGCCTCTCAGGGGTATTGCAAGGATTAACTATTAATGTTTGTAAAATGCCCTAAGAGGTAAAGTGCTGTATAAATGGTGACTATTCTTATCAACCTGGTCACTGCAAATTACTGAGAAGGTATAGGGAACATTTGCCCATCCTGGAGAAAACTCTGTTACAAGGACAGAAAGAAAAGTATTTTATCAGCTTGGGAGGGGAAGCAAACTGAAAGACATCCCCCCTTCGCTTCCCCCTCTTAGGAACAAACCCCTGGTTTTGTTCATAATCTCTATAGATTCAAAGGCATTCATTACTCCAAGTCAACGAACTGCAAAAATTCCAAGAAAACTTCCCTGAAGTTACTTACCACCGCGCCACGGGCTGCTGCCCGGTGCCTGGCTTCCCCGCAGGTGAAGTACACATGCCGCAAGCTGATCAGCTGTCCTCTGAGTTACAATCCAGCAGAAAGACCTGGGGATATTTTACAGTATTGATTACATGAAAAATCAGTATAGCACTCTGGAGATCGCAGTCTCTTTCCTCTTTCTCTCCTTCTTTCCTAGAAGGGGAAAATACTCCTATGTGTTCATGGAATGTATGTCGTACTAATAGATCCTCTGCAAAGGAGACGGTGTCCGAAGTGGCAGCTCCTCTTCTGGACTCCTGGGGCTTCCAGGTGAAATGTGCTGAGTGAGAGCTGGTGGATCCTGCCCTCTCCCCGTCTCTATTCTGTTTCCCTTGGGACTGTCAGTGTGGTCCTGGAAGAGGAGGGGAGAGGGAAGGGGGAAGGGCTTAGGAATAATCTCTCCAGCATCCCTCTGTCTATTCAGCAAGCAGCCGGCAGCAACTGGGTAAGAACATGAAGTACAAGGACAGTCTCCGACTAATGAGGTTTAATAGTAAGTAAATTCTGGCAAACCTACTTAATAAAACAATTTCAATGTCTATTAACTCCTTCCATTGTAGTCATACCACAGTTGCTTGCTCTGGAGACACCAGTCAAATTCCTCAGGAGCAGTTTCCATGCCCTGCATCCCTCTTGACACTGGGATTTGCTCTTAAATATCCTTAGATGGAGAGGGAAGGTTTCTGGGTCCATGGATGCTGGCCCTCAGCATTCCTTTGGCTATTAGAGAAGTGCTGTTCTCCCATAAAAGAAAGGGTCTCTGGCTTGCAATTAATAGGTGCTGCGCACTCTCAGATCCACAGTGCTTTTCCAACAGCCAAGAACTTTTTCCTTTCTTCTTTAGAGACGATGGGAAATCAAACATAACCGTTTTCTTGCTTTTCTCATACATGGCTGAGGGAGAGGTGAGCTTGCTGTAATGTTCTTGGGTTCTGTACTGCTAGTAGGTCTTGGGCTGCCTCAGTCTAAAATTGGCATGACACAGATTTGACCCATATTCTGCTTGCTTGGCCTCAGTCACAGGGTGCAAGAAACCTACAATGAGCTCCTGTTGGCAAGTACTCTCTGTGGTACTCCCAAATGCAGTAAGAAATGCCTTAGCTTATGCCTATACCCAGTGTGGCGGAAAGCACTGAAGCTGAATCCTATTACTAGAGAGGTGTGTGAATCTGTAGGATTTACATGTCCCGCTGTGAGCGTGAAGGTCGCATGGAGAAGCGTTATGAGCTTGAATCGCAGAGCTGCTTCTCTGCCATTTGCACAGTGGGTAGAAGGTGCAGGTGGTGCCCTTTGCTACTTACCCTCGTAATGGCTGTGGGACTTGTGCGCTGCTGAGCTGACACTCCCCAGAAGCAGATGCTGCAGCTGTTTATCAGCACTGAGCAATGCGATGGCACAACCTAGGAAGGGAAGCCTTTGCTAATTGGACTTTTTGGCACATCTCTCTTGGCCCATGTGGTGCCCAGAAGATTAACTTCTTATCAGGCTTCACCACTGGGGTTTTCACTCAAGTCCTAATTATGCCATCCACAGAGAAAGACCAGAGAGATGCCTGAAGGCAACTGAGTTCTGGGAGCATAGCTCAAAATCACTTAAATCCTACTACCTTTGTGCAAGATGCAGTTTGCTCTGCCTATCAGTCCTTCTTACGGATTATTTCTGCAAAGAAAAAGCAAACCTATTCTAATTAACTTTGGATGGATTGTTTCACAAAAGGATAAAACCAATTAGCATTTTCTTCTTACCTTGTGAAGTCCTTGCATGGTGGTGTTGAAGGTTATATTTCTGAAATCAGCTGACGAGAAGGTGAATAAATCCAAAACAATGAGTAAACATCATACATAATCGAGTAATTTGAGTGCTATACTTATTTATCAAGAAATACATATGGTCTAATGTTTAAAACTTCACTTCCAATACTAGGCACCCTAACATTTGCTTTACTGAGACCTGCAGCAGTGTCTGTAGCTAGATCAGGATCTCATTGCCAGCTCGAATCATACAAATGACTGTCAGTCAGTCCTTAAGTCGTCTGTCTTCATAAGTGAGACAGAGAAAGGATAGAAATATTTTTATCTTGATTTTATTAACAGGATATGAAGGTACAGAAAAGAGAACGGCTTTGTTTGGTGTCTGAGGAAGACAGGCCCTGAATCCAGGCCCTAAACCCAGCTCTGAAGATCTTAAACATGTAACTTACCTCCAGAACTGTCCTTCCACCCTGGTCCATATCTGCCTTCTGCTCTCCTGGGCCCTACTGCCATGTCTGTACGATCTCCTCCTTGGTAGTGGAGGATCTAAAGCTATTAGTGCTGACATCACAAATTGAAATCCCTCCCCAAGTGGGAAGGGCATATTTCCTGGCTCAGTTTGAACCTCTGCTGACTTGGGTTTTTCACGGTTGGGTATTTTTTTTTGTTTTTCACAACTACTGCTGTAGTCTTCCTGTTAAATTCCCTTTGGATTTGCCCGATTCAGTACGAAGTTCATAATCTTTATTCTCTTTTCTTGTCCTCCATTTCCCTTACACTTTCTGGAATTGCTGCCTCCTTGCTCCTTAGCCATATGGTGGTATCAACTTCTTTTACATGCCATTTATGCCTTAAATGCAGGTTCCATATGCTTCATTTATTTGTTGACATGAATGACATTCCTGTCTCCTTGCTGTTGTTTCCCCCCTTTTGTGGTTTTGCCATTCTACTGTAATTTTTTTTAGACCTGCCTCTCACATCTCCTTTATACAACAATGGCAACATGCTACTGCTGAGAAGAAAGCTGAGCAGAAGAGAGAGTTCTTACCCAGATGGCCCGTGATGAAGCCATTGCACACCATTGTACACCTCTCTCAGTTGGACTAAGCCTAGCCCCATGTAAACCAAGATTAAAGCCTCAATCTAGGTGGTGTGGTAATTGATGGTGTATCTCTTACTGAATTCAAATTCAGAGGCACACAACAGAGATCTACTAGGCTGGCTTGAAACCTTGTGGGTGTGATGGTGCAGTTGTCATCATGCCCCTGCGACATGCAGAGGAGAATCTGGTAAGAGACGTCCCTTACGGTGAGCTGATTTTTCTTAGATAGTTCAATAATGAAATCATTTTCAGGGCTAGTATCTAGATATCACTAATAGTTAAATGCTGTAGAAAAGGGGAAAGCCAGTGAATATCACTGGCTTTAATAGCTTGCATACCTGTGATTTCATCTCCTGCATTGTATTCTCTGCAATTATGTCAAAATCCTGTGTCAAGCAGCAGATAGATACAGAATATAGATATACAGAAGAAGCAGGCACCTTTTTTAACCAAGCACATAATAAAACTGTAGAATTTATTGGCACATTTGTTGTGGTGGCCAAAAGTGTAAAGTATTTAGAAAAGGACTGAGCAAATTAATGCAAAGAAGGTCCACCAGATAGATCCCATGTCTGGCATGGAAAGTATTGCTCAGCAGTAGGGAGATATTTTAGTGCAAATCCCACAATGTATATGCTTTCCCTGTTCTGCTTTTTCCTGGATTCTTGATAGATGATGCACATGGGGGCTGCACAGACCCTGGTGTGACCTTTTGGAGATGTTCTTATGCTGAGAAACTTGAGGAGGGTGGCCTAGGCTCTAATAGTTTGGTCATGCATTTCTGGGTTGAACATGCACTACTTACCTGACAGTATTACTCTGTCAGAACAGCAAAAAAGAGATGAAGACAAAACTGATTAGATATGTATGTGCATGTATATATTTTCAAGACCAGTGATGTCTGTATATAATGGACAGTCTCACAGAGGGGTAGACTACACTCTGAAACTGTATGTGCTTATAGGTCTTCCAGTCATTCCGTAGGGAGCAGACATCTAATTTAATAAGGGCACTGTTGTCAATCTTCCTTCCTTTCTTCCCAACTGGACTTTTTGTAATGCTTAAATATAATACAAAGGTAATTACTTTGCCTGGCATCTATAACAGAAGATGCGTTTCAGGCTTTTAAAGTCAGAGAGAAAACAAAAGTGTAAATCAAAATAATTATTTGAGGAAATATGAATGCACTGAAAAGGAGGAGAAAAAATGAGAATGAAAAAAAATTAATTTTAAAAAACCTGTACTGTCTTCATTCATTGGCTTAGAAATTAGCCCAGTGCTGAAGCTTCAGTTGGTGCAATTTCATCTCAGAATTACTAGATGCTATTTCTTTCATCAATTGAGTATATGGCATTTTGTCTGTGGGGGCTAATTCTTCTCTAAGCCTTAGCCAATGTATAGCCCTGGCCTCTCCCATCTTTTTTGTTTGTGCCATCTGAACTCTTACGATAAATAAAATAATTTTTCATTTATTTGCAAAATAATTGACATGGGATTAAAAGGAGCATTTTAACACGCAAAAATTAGTTTAAATTATTTCATTGTGTTCACAGGTGGTTCACACTTCTAGAAGTAATTGGATTTAGATAGCCTTGTTACATGGAAATTCAACATCTTTTCAGGTCTTTATATCACTCATTGGACATAAAGAATAGCTTAGCCTTCTTTCTTTAGTTTAATTGTGACATTATATATTGCAAGGTGAACCTTCAGAATTTATGCCAACATTTTATTCAGTCCAGAAAGTAAACTTCCAGGATTTATGCCAACGTTTTATTTAGTCTAACAACATTCACTTCATGTTCCTGTTTATTTCCTCATAATTTATCTTCATGGAGCAATAGAAATACCTTTTCTTGCCAAATGCATAGTTTGTGTGGATAATTAAATTGACAGTAAAGGGCTAGCTTCACCTCTTCCTTATTCAAGTCTTACTGAGTTGTGGCATTATTGATTCCAGTAGAATAATGCTGCAATTGCCCAGGAATCTGTGGTAAATCAGGCAATGGGTGCCCTTAATTTGTTAAGCACTGTTATAATATACTGCTAGTTCATGCGAGCCCTTAGAAACCCCAGTCCTGGCCCATGCCTCTGTTGTGCCACAAACGTGTCTTAGCCTGAGTCACATATTGTTGGCAGTGTTTTATTCCTTATTTCCGTCCCTGTCTTTGTAAAAGTTGTTTCTTTTTTATCTGTTGAGTTTAATGAAAGACAAACAGGGCCACTTCTCAGTAGGCGAAATGCCACTAAAGGAAATGAACTATTTGGAGCATTCCTTTGCGATGTAAATGTAAAATAAGTTTCATTATATGTAATGCACAAATTTCTGTGTCCTTTCACTCTTCTCCATGCGTGAAGACTGAACCTAGGAATTAACTTCAGATAAGTTTCCCAAAGTTTTCTGTGCTTTCTAGAAAATTATACCTGTTAATGGACAATACTCAAGGAAACTGATTTCAAAAGGATAAACATTTCTGTGTTGATCCCAATGAATTTTGCATAGGGGCTGAATCACTTAGGTTTAAAAGGTTTCAGGGGATTAAAATGTTGTGTGACATGGGCAGAGGGAACAGAGAGCTCAATGCCACAGCTTATTGCTGAGTGCTATTAACTTTCCACATAGCAAGAGACTGATTAAGTGAGATATGCCCAGGTAATGTGAGTCATGCTTTAGAGGAAGACAATCTCAAGTCTTTCATAACCTGATCTCGAGAATAATTCCCTCCTGATTGCAGTTCTGGTGATCAGTCTTACCCTGGGCACCACACACAAGCTGAGTATTTGAGGAAGAGGTTTTTCTGCTGTCTCTGAGCAGCAGTCCGTTAGGAGGTGTGCCAAAACTTTTCATGGGAAACACATGCAACCTCCCCTTCGCGCAGTCCAAACCAAAGGGCACATGTGTCTAACTGCATGCACATCAGGAAAAAAAATTTGGCCTCACTGAAAGCCTAGCAACTGAGGGAATAAAAACAGAGTCCCTGGTGATAATCAGCATGAGGCTGTTGCTGGTAAATGGAAGTTTTCTGCAAGAGTACAAACTTCCATTTTCTCTCCTACTCTGCAGGCACATTTAGACTGTGCATCTTGATGTTTCTATCAAAGTTGAAACCATCCTGACAATGTAAAACCTTTGGTGAGATAAAAATTGGAAACAATATAGATATTTTTCATAGCAAGTGCATTTCATTTCAAAATTCCAAAGCATTTATGAGTGACACCAATTTAATGACTGATACTAAAAGAGTCATTTCAGTAATCCACCTCAGGATCATTGAAATATCACAAATACCCAATATATAGTATTGGGTACAGCTATACAGATATAACTTCTACTATTTCTGAAGGCCCTCTAAAACTTGATATTCGACTGCCATTTGACTGCAGAGGTTGGGTTTTTTCGACCATTTTCATTCATTTCTACAGTAGGTAACAAGAGACATGATTAAGGAAGAGAAAGCTTGGCTTCAGAGAGAAGCTATCTGAAGAGTATCTGCACAGGGATAGGTAACAGAGAAATTTTATCTGTGCCACCATGCATTAGGGAAAAATAACACCCATTTTGGAATTTGAAGAGGGAAATAGGCAGAAAAAGGTGTTGTGAATTTGTTAGCAAGAAAAAACGAACACTTAACCAGATGTTTCAAGTCCCATGAATGCTGTTGTTACGTGCTGAGGAGAGTGCGCACTCAGGGGACGTGTATGTCTGTAAGTGTCATTGATTTTGGAGATCACAGGGTAGGGGGTATCTGTCTGTATACATAGACATGCACCTGACGTACCGTGCACACTAAAATGTCTGCCATCAGGTGATGCAGTATTGAAAGAGAAAAGGTATATTGTGGTTACAGTCCAGAAGTTCTTTGTTTATCTCTTACCACTGTAAAATTCTCTCTTTGTCATCCCAGACATATTGCTTAATATGTCTGTGTCTTGGTTTCCTAGTCAAATCAAATAAATATAACTACTGTGATCTGGTAAGGAGAACTCTATGATACTAAGGTAAGACAGCAAGCTCCCATTTGGGGAGAAGGACAGGAGATATTAAAAAGTTGATCTTCAACTAGCTATGCTGGAGAAGACTGTTTTTACTGGGTGGATAAGTTACTAGTAAGACTGATTATCTAAAGTTATGTAGCTCAAGAATAAAATACAGCGATGCTTTCAGTTTTCAAATAGAAACAGTGTTAAAATTACATTAGCTACTGTGACGAACTGCCAGATTAAAATGTGAATTGCTAAGCAGGTGAGGTAGATTTGAATACTGAATGCTGATTTATTTTTTTTTTTCCCCTCTCATGTTAGGTTTTATTTCTCGAATCATTTAAAACTAGTGAAGGAAGGTCTGACAATTTTTTTTAGAGTTGTTACTGGTGAGATTGATTACTTCATCTTGTTTTTT